AGCTTACCGGCGGCGGCGCTCTCGGGTGCGGCGGCTCTCCGGCGAGGTTCGTGTTCTGGTGATTCGGCTCCGGTCAACCTGTAGAGAAAAGAATGGTGATCACGGTGATATAAAAATTGCATCAAACGGAGGCCAGGAAGGGCCTCGTCGGAGGCAAAAACCGAGAAGGGACGCGGCGGCGCCGCTGGTCTTCGGCCGCGTATTCCGACCGTTTGGCTGGGATTTTGGCTCCGATTTGGCCACAGGAGGAATCAGCGTGGAAAAATGAGTCGGGGGTATGAAATTTACCTCGATCGGCGGTTGGAAATTTCCCCGGCGCGGCGGCGGGTGGCGGCAGCCGGCTTCTGGTTTGTCTTCTCCAGCGAGCGGCAGGCGGCTAGGGTTTGTGGTCTGGTGTGGGGGTTCTATTTATAACCCCTTGTCTTTTGATCTCAGCCGTCCATTTTGTTTTAATCTGGGCCGTTCGTTTTTGATTGAATCTGGGCCGTCCGTGCGATTGCATCTGGGCCGTCCGATCGCGCGATTGATCTGGGTCGTCCGATCGCGCTCACGCGGATCGCAAACGTGGCCCGTTCTGGAGTGACGTGGTCTTGCCACGTGGCAGGCCCCGGTTGGCCGGGATTGCTGACCGGGCCCGCTGACGTGGCTGCCGACGTGGCTTTTTTTTTTTTGGCTCCTTTTCTCCGGGCGCTACAAAAACATCTTTTAAAAGCTTAGTTTACAGTCAGTTTTTAGGCCCCATAAGAAATCCTTACAAGCTAGAAGCATGCATCGGAGGGAATCCTCTTGTCTCTAAACATTGTAATCTAAGCTTATACAGAAAATATAGTAAACAAGTAACACCCTAAATTCAAAGGTTTATGTACATTACAATGCTGTAAATGTTAGAATATAAATATTTTTCAAATCAATAAATTTATAAATCTAAACACGTAAGAAGAACACAAATTTAGACAGAATATTAACTTATAAGTGGTCCCTTATAACAGTAATTAAATACAAACAGTAAGAACACATCAAATAATAAACTTTCATTTGGGCCGATTTAAAATTCACATGTTATACTGAATAACTGTCACGTATTTATTACCATAAAAATAGAATGCAATAGTATTAAATATTAATTTTCTTTTGAATTAATTAATGTTCATATAAATTAAACTCATGCAATATTACATTATAAAATAAATAAATTATCCACAAGAGGTGTTATTTTTGTGACATATTGTATAAATCAATTTATTTCAATATGTACGAGCACATACTAATATTAAAATTCAAAATTTAAACTGAATTAGAAAGAAAATCAACTACAAATGACTAAAAATATATTTAAAAAATTCTGTTTTTTTTTTTCTTTCAACATTGACCTTTGACCGATCGAAACGTTGACTATTGGCTATTGACTGTTGACTGACCAACCAGTTAACTGAATCGGTTCAACATTCGATCGGGTTCTGGACCAAGTTGGATCGGTTCGGGTCGGGTCGGCCTAGCCCAAACCCGTCTGGGCTTTGGTCCACCCAAATGAGCCTTTTTTTTTTTATTTTTTTCCATTCTTGTAGACCAACCCCACATAAATTTCAAAAGAAAACCCAACCAAATTTTTTTTTCTCCTTCCACCTCCTCACGCCCGTAGGGGCATTATGGCTGTCTCTGTAACGACCGAAAAATTCCGCCGTTACGTATGAGATTCGGTAGTCGTTTCGGCTGCCGAACGGTCGCGCGACCGCGGTTTCCTTCTTCATGCTCGGCTACAGATTTGGCCGGCTTAATGTAGCGGCTGTCGGCCACTACTTTCCCTTTTTCTCTATTGCATATATATACATATATATATATATATCCTAAACATACACGCATATATATATATATATATATTTTCTGCTTTATTTTTCTGAAATTCATATATACCTGAATCTAAAATAAGTATATAATTTTTCAGAAATTCATATATAATTTTTTTCTTTTAAAATACATATATATATATATATATTTTTATGTATATATATATTTTCTTAAATCTTGGATCGACAGTCTGAAAATTACAAAAAAAAAATGAATTTCAAAAATTTAATACAAAAAATACTTTGATATCACTAGTTATAATAAAAATATTTTTTAAATTAATAAATTTATAAATTTAAATAGGTATAAAATTAATAAAAAATATAAACAAAAATATTGTTTGCACGGTAAAATTTTTAGAATTAATATGGTGCCTCAAAAAATTAATTTTTTTTAATAATAAAATTTTTTTAAAAATAAAATAGTAAACTTATAATTCAGTAACTATAATTATCTTTTATATCAATAAATTTTTGTATTTTACTTATTATAAAAAAAAATATTACAAAATAATATCTGTATATTATAAATCTATACTTAAACTCAATGTATTAAGATTCAATCATGTTTAATTATATTTAATTACTTTTAAAAGTTCTGATTAAATTAATAGTTTGAAATCCTTGCCGGTATCCATATTAAGCCCACGTGTAGCAAAAAAGTCCAAGAGCAAATTCAGGAGAAAATTTGAATATTTATTTCATGTAATTGATTTAAGTTCAGAATTATGATAAAGTAAAATAGGTTCGTATAATGATGTACAGTTCGTGAAGAGCTTGTTAAAAGGAACATCACTCGGTTATATTCATCAACAATTTAAGCATTCATCCCAAGATCACTACAAACAGTCATGGTATAATTGAAGTTGATGAACTATCCAGTTTCAACATTCATATTTCATACAGAAAGCGATGGTTATAGAATTACCTAAGAATTCCTTCAAATGGTGGCTACACGATCTTCTATCGCATTTAATTTCAGCATCAAGTCTCCTCCACCGTCAGAGAATCCCTTCTCAGTTCCCTCATCTGCTTGGCCGTCCATCCTTCTTTCTCTTACCTGATCTGTTTCCCTTTTGATTTGAAAAAGAGACATGAACAGATGCTAGGTTCACTTTTTCTCTGTTAGCTTTTCTCCAACCTCTCAGTCTGCCTCCATAGCTTGATTT